CTGTTTTAGGTTGTATGCAGTTGATAGGAACCAAAGAAATAAAGTGACTCATGTTGTCATGTTTCTTCTTGTTCAGCTTCATCAAAGGAAAGAACCGAATGAACGAAGTTTATAACTGTATTGACTACCAATTGCGTGTGTCAATGTGATTAAATTGTAAAACTCCCTAGTGGGATAAGAACATGAAATTATTAGTTTTACCAGTATATCCAATTATACGTACGGAATCCTTCGAAGTGAAGACGGGAGTAAAACAAGGCTGCCTACTATCTCCAATGATTTTCCTGATTGCGGTAGACTGGATAATGCGACAGACAGCGGCGGGCAGTGAGAAAACAGGCCTAAAATGGACCCACACAAAAAACTTGGAGGATCTGAACTTCGCCGATGATATATGTCAGATTTCCCCCAAACTGGAAGATATGCAAGTGAAAAGCAACAAGTTGGTGATAGAAGAAGCATCTAGAGAAGATAGGCCTTCAGATGAACATAGAGAAAACAGAGGTGGTTGATGAAGATTCCTGGCCAACAGCAACATCAACAAAAACAGTCAGTATAAATAGGGGGAATCTGAAAGAAGCAACCTCCTACCTACCTACCTGGGAAGCATCGTTTCAACTACAGGTGGAACTGATGAGTATATCAAAGCGAGGACAGGGAAAGCAAAGTAAGCTTTCATTTCTCTCAAGTCTGTGTGGAGGTCAGCAGCACTCAACATGAAAAACAAGATGTGGATTTTCAACTCCAATGTGAAGTCAGTGCTACTTACTATACGGATCAGAGACTTTGGCGCATCACGAAGGGCACTTCGAACAAACTACAGACCTTCATCAACAGCTATCTTCGCTCAATGCTACTCAAGATCAGATGGCCGGTCAGAAAAGAACAGCAACACGGATCCATGGGAGCGAACCAACCCTGCAGGAAGCAATTGTGCAACAAATATGCAGGAAGAAATGGAGGTGGATTGGCCATACTCTGAGAAAACCATCAAGTGACATCACACGACAGGCCATCGCTCGAGTGGAACCCAAATTGGAAGCGACGAGTTGGTCGTCCGAAGGTGACATGGAGGAGGTCATATGAATAGGAGATGAAAGCATGTGTGTAGACGTGGAGCCAGGTGAAGACTCTAGCAGAGAACCGAACGCAATGGAGACGCACGGCTGAAGCCCTATGTTCCTCTAAGAATTAAAGGAAACAATAATAATAAGTGAGGCTGTATTATGAAACACATATGAAGCATTTTGGTTATCCTGCTGCTGCTGGATTCAACATAGAACTTGGCACCGAAGTGCAGCAGTTCGAGTTGCCACGTCAAATAGCGCACAAAGAAAGAATGAGAGAAGAGAATCAATAGAATTAGATAAGTATAAGATTGAAACAGAATGGTAATGAGTAATGGTAGAAGGAATATGAAGGTTAAAGAGACTGAATACATCTGCGCCATTGACAACGATTTTGAGCCATGTCACCTATTGTCTCCAGCCATTGACTTTTAGAGTCCCGAGGGCTCCAACCCGGAAGTCTACATTTCCCTACCTGACTCAGTTAACTGTCAGGGATTTCATGGATTGATGCCATGTTTTGTTTGGCCACCACTTACTCTTTTCCAACCTGCACATATATCAGCTAGGGAGACGATGGTTAGGCTTTTGGTTATCCTAACGACAATCAGTCTTTTCACAACTTTGTCTATTTGGCTCAGAAATGAGAATGGAATTATATAAACATATTCAATATAAATTGAGTTAACTAACGATCTGACAACTAAGAGTTCATAATGCATTGCCAAAAAATTACACCTTACATTTGACTCAGCTGCTAGTCCCATCTACACTTATAAGCATAATAAAGATGTTCAGAGGATATATAAGAAATGAGACAGGGTGTAAGTGCATTTACCTTGTTGGTATATTGCTTGTAATATCAAAATGATGCCAAGTTATCAACATCACAGAAGATATGTTTATATCAAACAAAATTTAATACCAAGTTTGATAATGAACCAACTTCAGTTAGCGAATCACTTAAAATCAGGAAGTACTGAACACCTGTTTCATCCACGTTTGGGACTCCCTGTGTGTGAATTAAGGAACAGACACTGGAACTCATTAGTTCAGGCTTTCTTAATCTCACCGATAAATATCGCTATTCATAAACACAAATTGTGGCACAGGTACTCTTCTGTCGGGTTAGGTAGTTATAAGGGTGGTAATGACGCTTACTAGTAAAGGTGAAAATGGTAATGTGGTAAAAGAACTACCGAATTAGCTATCCACCAGTTAAGTCAACATTCTTGATTAGAAAAGGTACATTGGCTTATTCAATAATTAAGTATGCATGGGTTAAAACAGTTGAGGAGTTTCATGAATAATTAAATATCTTTAGTCCTGATATATGGCGTTCATACAAAAAGAACTTAAGGTTACTAGAAAAAGCATAGTATCAGATTTTGGTTGGTGCTGACTGGCAGTAGAATCCAGGAAACGAATTTCGTCTGATTTGGGACTAAGTTGTACCTGCACTTATTGTGAGACTCGAACGCTCCACCCATCGCTTCAACTATCATAGCACTATCCACTAGGCCACGAGAAATGTTAATCAACTTAAAAACAAATAGTATCAAATTCATGAATAATGGATCGGACACACGTTGAGGAGACCGTCAGGTGACATCGTACACCAGACATACCCTTGAGTGGGGAACGACGAGTTGGGTATTGGTCTGAGGAGACATGAAGGAGATCGTGTGAAGAGATGAAAGCTTATGAACAATCGCGGGCCCAGATGAAGGGGACTAAAGAAAACAAGATAAAATGGAAATGTACTGTTGAAGCCCTATGCTCCACTGGAAAACCAAGGGAATAATAATAACAATGAATATTACTAACAATTAGCGAAACTTAGGTTGGAGAGCTAATATTGATGTCATAGGTGATGATGGAAGGTGATATAACAACGTAGATTATAACAGGCATTGAATAAAAGAGATATCCATAATAGGCATGTACAAGAAACTCGATGAAACTGTAGTGTGAAGTAGTAGCAAATGTTATTTCTTAAACTTATTTTTCAATTCCTTTTTGTTCGGAGTGGAACATATAGCCCCATAAACTTTGGAGTTTCAGTAACACTGGTGTTACTCTTTTTTACGGGGCAAGGTTGCTAGCCTCTTGCAAAATCTGCCCTTTTAACGGGCTTACTAATGACTAAGTGAGGGTTAGGAGTACGTCAATCGACCTGGGCTCGAACCCCGGCCACAGCAGCAGATGGTATACAGCTCAATAACTATGTGAAGGTTTGCTTGATCAGATGCGAAGGTGTATATAGTCTGATGAATTTTGCAAGGTAGCCCAACTTCAAAAGATCCGGAAACCATAACAGAGATCCCTAAATAAGTTGACCATTTGCCAACTGTAGGACCATGACAAATCTGCTGTTTTCCTCTTTAACACTTCTCCATAAGATTAAATGCAAAATATGTATATGCAAAATTCATACATACATACATATTACAGATACATGAGAGAAAATTAGCGACATACAAAAGTCACCTGTGTTGAAATAATACATTAAGAAGTGAAGAAAAACAAAGAAAGAAACAGTGGGAGAGAGAGAGGGGGAAGAGCAGAAGTGTAGTATAAAATGATCATCACCTTCAACGCCCATATAAAAAAGAAGAAATGGCTAGATTATACAAAACAAAACAAGGAGAAACAATTTTGTTTCGTTTAAAATTGAATATTAACAATAGAGGACTAAAACAAAATATATTTTATTATAATATTAGGTAAAGAAAAAGCTTCTTTCATCATTCAAATAAAAGCAACAATGTTACTACTCACTTATAAATACTTTGTTGTTACTGAAATCACGATAGCAGGAATCAGGTTTTTTGTTTGTAAAAAAAAGATGAAAATTACTGTTACCTTTAGAAAGCAATGAGTAACTTTTAAGCACAAAATGATTGCATAAGTTAGATTAATTTTTTTCAAAAACGACAATAAAATAACACGAATTGTAGACACATGGGGGTCGTAGGAGGTTGACAATCCTTCCTTCCTTTTAAACGCCACACTCGGATTTGTGTGTGTGTGTGTGAGTGTATCCGTGATTGATGGAGAAAAGGGTCGGTTAGAGACCAACCGTATTTATTTGTGAAAGGGAGACAGTAAATGGTTTAAAGGAAAGACTAGCGGAATATGTGAAAGCATAAAGCGAAGTCGTCAGACCAGATGAATCAAACAAAACGCAGAGGATTTGTAATGAACAAAAACACAAAAGTGGTGATGGGGGAAAATGAGAATTGATAAAAATGTTGCATACAAAGATCAGCCAGCCAGTACCAAACCACTGTGATAACATGGGAGAGAGGGAGAGCTACAAATTAACACATAAGATAGAGGGATCTTTTATAAAGCTGGTATTAAGAAATATGGTGAGTAACAATCAAGTCTTCCACTTTATTCTTCTAGTCCCGGATATCAAAAGATTAGAAAGCTGCAAAACATGATGAGACTTGGCAGAATAACCTACAGATCCATAACAGACGGTTTGTTAGATCACAAAAGAATTAGTAGAATAAGAAGAAAACAATTTATAAATAAAAGTTCAACATTTGAAAGTGTGCATTAGAAAGCGAAAAATAAAAACTAATTTTCATCGTCAGATGTATTATCCTTATTATCCATATTAACCTTATTAGCAGGAATGCATTGTGAACACAAAAACACCATAGATAGGGTTGTATAAAAGAAGCGAAGGTAAGGTGTGAAATATTAATCACTTTCTCGAGGCCATGAGGGTAGTGGTATCAGGAAAACCAACAACTTTTCATATGCATTCAGAATAAAAATTATAATACAAAATATGCGTATACAAACAGAGACAACTTTACGTTAGATAGAACACAAACAAAAGCAGTAGTAGTGGTAATTAGTAGAAAAGAAAATATTATGAGATCAAACAACTGACTGGAGACAAGAAGTAAAAGTAAGTTAGAGAATTAGACATTTTCGTTTCGATGTTTTCTGTTTCACTGGAGGCATTTGATTGTTGATTTGTCTCACAAGATCAATAAAAATCTGTAAATAAAAAGTGATAGAAATAAAAGTTAAGGTTTTCTTCGGTATAGGCTTTGACAAAGAATGCTGCCTACGTAATGATATACCAAAGAAATAACACTTTTACACATATTTTGGTGGAGTCACTTTTTCAGAGTATTGATGAAACACATTCACCGTCAAACATCAAAAGTTTAAGAAGAGTACAACACAGCTATTAATCTTCGCTACTATTATACTTGATTATTATTAAATTAACCAAATTAGTAATTTACAGATTAACTAATTGATTAATTAATTAATTCAGTATACTGTCAGTCTACTCAAGTAGCTAGCCAAAATTTATATGGTTTGAACTGGTTCGATTGTCTGAGCTGAATCAATCAATCCTGACACACCAGTTTTGAGCTCGACCCAAAACAGCGAGAAGGTAGTCAGGCTTCTACATCACTTCTATCTGACTAACAAGCACTACTGGTTGGTGTGAATAGTATTCAACTAATCACACCAATTAGTCAATCGGTAGTATATAACATGATGTGTCATTAATTTAGGTTTAAGACAATCTTCCAAGTTCTTTTAAGCTCTTATTCACCCATCGCTTTGATAAGCGAAACTATTTAACTTCGTAATATTGTTCCACAAAACTACCAATCAATAAATAATCTATCCAACATCGAAACACATGTTATATTGAAGGATACTGGAACAACAAGCCTATGCTTGCTCAAGTTCAGAATCAGGAATATCTGTATATAATTTGAGAAAAGCATTACAGAATATTCAAGTATTCACTAGACTACATTTCCTAATAACGAAGTGAACATCAGTATGACATAAGGGGACAGTTGTAATGAAAACCTTGTCGTTACGGGATTAGAATCAACAATCTTTGAGTTACTTGCTCCATTGACTGACCTAGGAAGATTACTTGATTTTCTGCAGTGAGTCTTAGATTCGAATCCTAGTTCAACTACCTTGATTTAAACTACAGAGAAGTATTATTACAAACCCTTGTGGTTCTCAAAAGATTTAGTGAGTGAAGCGAAAAAAAAACATTTTGATTAAATGAATTCACTGTACTCTTACAACTGATAAGAAATAACTGTACGGAGCGGTTGCAATAGTATTTTATTAGTTCAATTCGATACACTAATTATAAGCAGTGCGACCAGAAGAAACAAAAAAAACACTAAATTAAAACTTATCATGATTATACTTGAGTTTAAGATACTACAGTTCATATCAACAGTGTACAAGAAATACCAGAAGGGGAGGTAAAAAGGAATTGAAACGATAACACAAATAACAAAAAGGTAAGAGTTAATACAAAAAGAGGGATAGTACGGATGATAAATTCGACCCATAAATTCCAAAGATAGAGACTATCGTTTTTTATATCAAATAAAGTTAAACTAGGTGACTTATAATTTGAACACAAGTAACTTCACAGACTGGGAGTGGAGTATCTCAATTCGATTCTTCTAATCGCAAAAGCTTCCTGTGATTTTCGTCAGACAAACACAGCAAGTCTTTACAAATAACTATGCCAAGACATCACAAAACTTCATCTTGTCAGTTACATTGGTGCATTAAAAACACTACAGCATAAAAAATTTAACGTTCTTCAAAGAAATCATATTTTAAAACCATTTCGAACTGTATCTACCTTATTTTTGTACAAAAGTATCCATTGAAATTGCAGAGAAGGTCAATTCAAAATAATCTCGGGTTAAATCAAATACTTAAGGATCTCGAAGAAGAACCTACTGACATATTCAACAATTTATTGAAGCGTGGAAAATATAACCAGTTGTTATGGAGGTATTATATAACATGAAATTGAAGTTCTTTAGCAATGATAGCTTCAGATACTACATTAAATTAACATAATAGTAGAGGTGTGGTTCACTGCTTTTGGTAGTCGACTTTCAGTCGATGGATTTCAGGTCCAAATCCCGCCCCATCTACTTCAGCCTTAACAACTGAGTAGTATCACTAGCCTTCTCATTTCAAGCTCCAGCTTTGCAGTTACAGTAGGTGTGTTGTTTTCACAACACCCTCCCAATCTACACCGGGCTTCTTACCGTCCAAGCGAGGTTTAGGAGCCCGTCGACTGGGAATCCAGCCCGGACGATGAGCATAGTTGGCTACCACTGCGCCGTTGAACCAGTGACACAAACATTACAAGGGTGGAGTGTATCCATACAGTATACAACCCTCTTCGAACCTTGCACACAACCACCAGGTCACGTGCTATCCAATTGTAGTTGACATCTCGCAACAAAAAGTCACGAGAACACCATCGGTGCATATGACAGACTAGGCACATCAAAAGGTGTCCACCCAAGGCCTACAGGTTACAAGATGAGCTCTTGACCATTTAGCCACTGGGAAAAAGGAGGTTTGTACGTGTCGTTCCATCTTAGCACAGCGCAAGTATGTGATAAGAGTCGAACACGGTTAATATTGGATGCGGTCTGAGGGAATAGACAAGTGTCTAAACCAATTCCCCACATCCGTTATAGTGCTTTAAACACTCCGAAATTGGAAAGAACATGCTAGGGTTTTATGATAGTCGGACTGTCATTACTATTAAAATCATAGTAATAGGCGGGTCATTTGAGAAAGATATCAAAAACAACAAACAATCGAGTATACTTCAAAACAAGCTCCATGGTCAAGCCAACCAGTGATCTCTGAACACAGCTACCGAATGCCAAATTCACATTTAATGCAGATTTAAATGCACATCGACCGATGTTACTGCACGAAGTATAATTTATGAAAGAAACTAATTTATTCATGTGATTTACTAGTCGCTGTTAAACATAGAGCCTTCAATAATAATATTGGTAACAATAAAAAGTGTGTTCATGAAATATGAAACAGCATCCATTATAAATGCACCTCCGACTAAACAGTGATACAATTATCGAAACTACTAAAAAAGTTGGTTTAGAAAATAAAATTAAGTGTTTCAAGTCTGGTCACTAGTTTACATCAGTTATAGAACCATCGGAAAACCTGGGAATACTGGAGAGCTATTTCGTCCGAGTTTGGGAGTGTTTATCAATACGCACCCACCAGGGTTCGAACCCAGGACCCCCGGTTACAAGGCGAACTCATAGACTATTCGGCAATTGAAACCCAATCCAATGGCCCATGAATTCCAACTGCTACTGAGGAGTCCCAAACTAGAACAAACAGCTGTCTAATACTCCCAGGTCTTCTAATGGTTCCCTAACTTATGTCAACTCGTGATCAAACTTGTAACCAATCAAATCCCTGCAAAACAAACACTTGATAAGCAAGTGTTTCAGTTAAATGGCATGATTTTAATCAAATGGAGTTATTGACACCTGAAGAGAATTCAACTGTTTTTCAACTACTCATATTATACTACAGTGTTTGATGGTAGGGCCAGAATTCTCCAGAGTAATTACAAGAATGTTTAACTGGGATACACAAACTGCATGAAAAGAGAAATAGTACAAGCATCTATCTAGCCTGGTAAGATGTTTGATAGCTTCATAACACCGATTTTAAAACTAGAAATGTTTAAACAGAATGATAACACAAGTCACCTTATCAAAAGGTTTTGCATACTTCAGATCTGAAAGGTATACTTCCGACATCTTTCCAAATATACTCACAGTGTTTACCAAACCAAAAAAAACAGACGGCACCTCTCATCCAAATTTATCCTTTATACATTCATTTTGTAGATACATTGTGTAGACACACTGAGGTGATTCATAAGAAGTTTACAGATATTCAACACTTTTAAATAGCTAAGTTGATTTGCTTTACAACAATTAATTGAAGATTGATCACAAATTTATTTTAACTGTTTTCACAATAAAAGAGAAATGTCTGAACGAGGCACAATGGCTAGACGCAATCATACATATATACTGCCTTTTAGCGGAATGTATTCCCCCTATTCTTGATATCAGAAATATTGCCTACATTATTCGTTAGACATCTCACCATTCTTATTTGTCGTGATTTTAATAACTGTAGTGACTCCAGATATTGTAAATTCTTATTCCAACAAACTAAGGTGAATATAAAGTGGAACTAACAGTTTTACTCAAATCCATTTAGTTTCAGAGGACAAATGAGCACAAGTAGTATCAGAAACAAAGTTACAATAGATGCACAATTACAATTCATCAGAAACGTAAGAATTCAACACATTCCAAACATCCAGCATAGTTGTCACATTTTTACAACAACATGAACTGAACTGAGTTGATGCAGCAAGTATTTTAACAATTCATCAGTTTTGAAATACAGACAAACCGAAATGAATACCTTTAGACTAATGCATATACGTACAAAGCATAAATGAAGTATGTGTATGCATGTTAGAGTATGGAGAACACAAATTGTATAAAAACTAACATTGAAAACCAACCAAATCATAGAATGATTAGATGTCCTACTTTACCGTAGTGAGTATAAGCAGTACGCGTTTCTTCAAGGCAAGCTACACTAAACCACAAATCATAGGGGTGCTAATTTGAGTACACGTGTGACTTGAGTTCCTTACGCGAACATCTTATTTGTTTACAATTGTCCTAAACATAGTAGGTCAAAATTTTGATAGTATACGTTAACGAAACCACGCGTCTCACTAGTAATTAGGAAATTAAAGTTATCTACAAATGTCATATAGGATTTAACAAAAGCATTTGCAAAAATTGAGATAGGGTAATAGAAAAACCATCACACAAAATACAATACATTATCCAAGTAGGAAGACATGAAACACAAAGGTTATGTGCCACAAATGAAGAGAGAAACATACCTCATTAACATTTATTTTAGCTTTGGCACTTGTTTCCATAAATGTACAGTTTAACTGCCTGCTCAGCAGTTGACCTTGTTCACGACCGACTACTCTTTCTTGCTCTAAGTCACACTTGTTTCCCACAAGTATGAGAGGAACATTAACATCATCTTTGACACGCTGAATTTGCTGATGTAAGTCTGTTAAATCATTAAAACTAGACTGTGATGTGATTGAATAGCATAAGACAAAACCTTGACCATTCTTCATGTACAAATCACGCATCGCGGTAAATTGTTCCTGTTATAACGAACAGAATGCAGAATTAGGTCTGAGTAAAAGCAAATCATAGAGAAAGTTGAAAATTCTACACACACGCGCCCATACAGTCAACTTTTGTTCTCGATAACTATAATGTACCGTTATTGCTGTCTTCATGATAAAGTAATATGGAGCTATGTGTCACTGGGCTAGGCGCTCGACTTCTAAACACTAGACCACGGGTTCGGACCCTGCCCCACCGACCGAGGTTTGAGCAACCACGAAGTATCATCAGCACTTATACAGTAGGTGTGACTCATCGACAACTGTATAGTAATGCTAGTTCTTATTAAGTAAAATAATTTAAAGTAGTAAATCAAAAAGCCAAAGAAATTGGAGGAGACATATTTTAGTACTTTTAATGAGCAAAGCAATAGTCTACTTTTAAACTATCAACAATTCTACAACCTGTTTATCCTATGTACACAATAAGTGTGAGTAGATAAATTAAAACACAAGGTTATTTGTCGAAGTAAAGATTAACTAAGTTGGTAGTAGTGTCATTCCCATATTAAAAAATCAATAAAAGCTTTTGTTTCATTAAAACGGGTTAAAACTAAGGTTGTTTTATCAAGTGTATCTTTATTTGAAAATTAACAACTACACAGCAATAAATTTTCCTGGAACATAAACTATTACCCAAATTTATAACGTACAACTACATTTACATAAAATAACTTACCGTGCCAGCTGTATCAAGAATTTCTAGCATGCACTGCCTGTCATCGATTTGGATTTGCTTTCTGTAACTGTCCTCTATCGTTGGGTCATATTTCTCCACAAATATCCCTTGAACGAACTGCACAGTTAATGCACTTTTCCCAACGCCTCCACTTCCTAGAACCACAAGCTTGTACTCTTGCATGAGGTTTTAAACCGAATAATTTCTATGTAACAGGTATTTAAGTGGATCAAATAGACACAAAAATTCAAAAGACCAGATGCTGCCAAATATTTCTCCTTTTTACGATAAAAGGTTACAACACCTGAAAAAAATAAAATCTATTCAGCAAACAAGTTACGACAAAGAGACAGTTATCGATTTGTGTTCTCAAAGTAAAAGCAAACCCATTATAGGGTTTTTGGTAAGTCCTCCACAACTCTGTATGACCGGAAAATAAGTCTCGTCTACCATCTAGTTTAACCACTTATGATAAACATGTCAGAAATTGTTACGAAATAACAAGGATTTTGAGATAAGCCTTCAACAGTGAAATGCAAAAGAAGTACTACTTATTCCTGAAAATACAATAGCTTAGGAAAGCAAAACAAAGTGGTTACTTTTGATCCTATTTGTGTGGAAAATCATACCTAAGACTATGGGTAGTAGTGAGATTTTGCCACTCAAATAACATGAAAGCACAGTACATAAAAACTACCCCAGTATCAACAGCCACATGCGTAACGTCTTGAAGCCTTTAGAGAAGAGACTTGCAATAAGTTCAATATGAATTTCAAAAACACCAAATATGAATGCTAAATTTATACCTATCGAATCGTACTGTTGAAATGCAGAGAATCATAGAAACAAAACAAAGTCATCAACTGATTTATTATCAAAATTTCTTTGGTATAGTTTATTCATATATTTATACACTATACCATAGTATTTATATGTTATTTGGCAAAGCTAGTCATGAGTACAGACAAACGACTGCTGCAATTGCAACAGTCGTTTGTCGTTTGGGTATAGTTGACTATACGGTGCACTTATTTTATTAAGGACAAATAACATTTTTGCTCGACATAAAACATGTTCGGAGTGTGATTTGCTAATCACATCTCTTAGTCTGAGTGATCAGTCTTACAACAAATCTATTGAATGGAATTTCTTTCTGAGTTTTCATCTGCCTGCGAATTTATTTCCTTTGCACACAGTCCCAGTTAGCACTTTTCACTAGCACATATTTGACTAGAAGTTATAACTTTCAGTGAAATAATGGATGACCATAAATTCTGACACAAATAACAACACGCGAAAGTCCAGGCTATACTGCTGTAAGTCATGAAAGATGATCGAATCTAAAAAGAACGTCATCACATATAACGTTGCGAAACAAACAAGACTAGCAATTTACAGTTATATTTCCCTTTAACTTCTTTCCAAACGATACAGGAAATAAATCTCATAAGATAACTATGTTTAGTTCACATAAATATTTTAAACTGTAAATAACAGCAATTCATTGCATTTAATTTTTAAAAGGCTGAAGATCCCTATTGATTATATGCTTAAATAGTATACTAACAATGGAAACTGCAAAACCAGCTTGTATTAAACCCACACTGGGAAATACCAAAATTTACCCTAGACTCAATAAACGCGCTATAACTACACGCGCTATCATGCAGCTTTTAGATGGTTTCAAACTATGCTGGGTTAAATTCAAGCCTTTCCGAAAAAAAGCTATTGTGGTGGAATCGATATTAATTGCAATCGTTTCAAAACCATAGAATGGTCGAAAGAGTCATAAAAATGTTGGTTCAATTGTAGTCTTGATCCATCTTCAACGTAGACCTGTCAAAGAAATTATGTTTGGTGTCCTATCACAATCTGTTATCATCCGTCCCTTAAGACATTTATAACCACTTAAACATGGAAATGCAGATTGGGTAGATGTCAGTAAGTAAATTTCCTGAATTCAATCAAGTGGTGACATCACTTTTGTCCCATCGACTTTTCAATCAACACAGGTAAGTCTGACATCTTAACCTTCGTTATTCATGCTCCAGTGCTACTGAATTTTCCCCACCTCTGGTGAACTTTGTTTCAGCTCTACTTTATGTGAATGACTGACTAACAGCTACAACACCATTCATAGATCACCGGATAAATACTTCAACATTTTGCTTATGGAAGAATGCATTGTGTCGTGACCATCATGTGCTTAGCCCGAAGCTTTTCCACTGAATTAGATGGCACTACCCTAAGTACTTGGCGAAGTTTAGTTGAAAGTTCCAGCATAAAGAAATGTCACAGCAAGGACGTATAAGTGAAAACTTGAGCCAAACTTTTGTGTTATCCCTAAAATATCGTCTACTATCTTATGGGTGAAATAGGTCGAAATCTCTGAAAAGTCGCGTAAAAACTACAATGGATCAGCACATGCAGATTTGACAGAGAAAATGTTTACTTGTTTAAAACTATTGCTCATATTTTAACGGTCAAAATGTCTTATATGTGGAATATTTGTGAGGTAGCTCATTCTGGCAGCAACTGATCTGTGTTTGAAGTGACACCAGGTTGATATTTTCTGTTCAGGGTTCAAACTGACCCTCTGAGTTCTTGGTTCATGCTATCTGAAGTTGAAGAGGCGTGATCACAAGCAAAGGAGAAACGCTACCGTTTTTCTGTCTCGAAAATATGCGTATGAGATCATAAGACCTATGCTACGTAAGACTGCCTTGAATTGCCTTGATTTAACCGACTGAAGAAAGCAGTAGTTATTGCAGGGCAACCAAAACTAAGCATATTCCGAAGCATGATACTCGTACGTCCTAATGCTACTTTAAAAATGGTTTTCAGTTATGCCTTTGCATACATTAGGTTGTATACGACTGCGATCAAATGCCATGGACTGCATAATACAATGATAACATCAAGTGGTTCATGGACTGAGAGAAAACCTTTTGAAGAGAAAACATTACACTTCTCTCAAGCTAATTATTTGGAGCTTAGTACTGTAATGAGACGGATTGCACTAAGGAACCTGTTGTACTTGAAGTTCTACCTACCTATTTGAAAACAGTTAATGAACATAAAAGCGTAGAGAAATCGCCCTTAACCAGTAAACACTGATGGATCCGGCTGAAAGAGAGGCCCTATATCTTAGAGAAAACTTTACATATGAGAAACATTAGGTTCTGATCACAGATCCAGAGTTAAAGAATTTTGTTACACTATGAGACCTTACTAAGCTGATCGTCCTAAATCACTTGACATCAACAACAAGATGTTGGGACTGAAATTCACATCTACCAAATTAACGAAGGTATGGAGACAACCAAGTATCAGAGAGTACCTAACTTCATAGATGTAGCCTAATTACGTGTCTTGAAAATCCTGAATCCACAGACACAACTCAAAAATCCACAAAAGGCTGTCCCGGAAACGCCTTAGAATCAACTAACTATCGTTTCATTTTCACTGATTGCTCAGTTCCTTCACAGATTACAAGGACATTACGAAAAGTGTTGTGGACCGATAGAAGAATGATACAGAGAAGGACTGGATAAGTTTTCAGAAAATCAACATCGTGGAGACCTCTACTGATATACTGCCCCAGGGAATCGTATGCAATAGGCAATTAGTATTCGAGAAAAGACGGTGGTGGTTAAGCTGAATTGTGGTGAAGTAATGTTGTTGTTCCTAATAAACAAGTTCTTTGACAGACGCAAGTTTTATATACTCTTTTCCGAAGATTACAACGGTTGACCATCCTGGTCACCGAGTGGGTGCGAGTCACTCTGAAGAGTTATCGAGACATGTGGTGCAGTTTTATGTCCAACAGAACAGGTGGTTATACAGCAACCATCAGTGCCACCTGTAATCTCAGATAATAGTTGAACGACCCCAGGTCCTTTTGACCATAAATAATCAGCTCTTGGGAATTGACCAACCCGAAGAGATGGAGACTGTCTCAGCCATTATTGTCTTTTCCCTCGAAAATCCAACTGCATACAATGTGATTCAGTCAGCACTGATAAACGAATTGATTTTTGAATGCAAAGTGGCTGAGGTTGACTGAAATTATCCGCCATGCTCAAGGTTATTGAATGGATGAGGCATTTGAAGGTCATTTTCGTCCGTGTTGGTCAGCCATGTTGGTTTGCTTTTTGCTACTCGTTTGATCAAATATTAACTTTCATATTTATCACGCAGTCATTCGCAACGCATCTTGACATGGATAGTCCATTAATGTTGCGCTTCACCTCATTTTGGTTTTCCTTGCCATCAGAAAACGATATTTCGTTTGTTTCGAAAGCATTTGTCCTCAGGTCAGTTCATCTGTTTCAATGTAACTGCTTCATACGTTGCTCTCATGCTTTGTTGCAGTGTTCCAGTTATTTTTCAGCTGTTAATGAAATAGTACTACGTAGAACGTTCGGAATTCATGCAAATGGACATGTTTCGGTGGCAAAAGCGTCTATAGCCAGTTGATCTGTTGTTTATCCTTATTGTTGCTGGTTCAAAGGTAACTTTATCTTGAGGAATCTGGAAAAATCGGTATCTTCCTTGGCGATATTTATATTACGCAACCATCCAGCATGAATTCTGGTGAAGAGAGCACAGTCCGTTGGTATTAGCAAGGCTTCAGAAAAGCACATTAGACCTGGAAGGTTCAGAACGTGGATTAGTGTTGAAGAAGCTTCGGAGCTTAATGTGCTATATCTAAATAAATTAGAATTTTCTTTAGTAAGGCTTAATTTTAACAATTATTGAGTATACTTCAAAAGGCCTTAAAATACGGATGATATAAATTGATCTAGGGAATATGTGAACTACTCTAGTTGAAGATGAGACCAGTTATTAAGAATAACCTCTTAGATTGGGGTTTATGACCAGTGTTTCTTCCGAAGTTAAATAAATTTTCCTTCAACCAACGGGCCTTTTCTGATCTTAAATGGCGAAACATTTGTTGTCGCGATCAGACAAATAGATGGTAACGTGGGGTGTTCTGTAGTTGCCAACAGTATTCATTTTCTTTTGAGTTAATACCATGCGCCTAACTGTATAACTCCTTTCCTCATAGTACATTGAGACAACCTAGAAGTCAAGCATAATGTTTCCGGCAGATTTGTTTCTAATATGTGAGTGATTGGAAATAGTTAGTCAACTGAGGTATTTTGGTAATAAGATAGATAACTTCAGACGCTTTCTTGGGGGTGTGGACCAA